ACCAATCAAGCAATCAGAAACAAAGGCGAAAGTACAAATAAGGGCGGAGTCGAGGGGGCGGGCGACCAATCGGCGAGTGGGCAGGACGTCCGAAGGACCTGCAGGCATCCTCCTAAACTTACGGCACGTAACCCTTACGGCACGTACCCGAAACTTACGGCACATATCCCTTACGGCACGTAACAAAAACTTACGGCACGTAACACACCCATTCTCAGCAGGTTCTGCTAAATCAGGGGGTAATTACTCTACTGTGTTTGCATCTGGGTGCATCTGTTTTCTCTCCCAGTAAGTTTCCTGGACGTTCCCGGCTGATTGATGTTCCGCTTCCCCATTAGTTCCACACCACAGATATGAGGTACCCTGGGCTTCCCGGTCTGGAGGACCTGGGCATCGTCCCATCTGCCGTGGAGCAGAAGGCCATCGAGGTCCTGAGGCGTCACCGTCGCTACCGCTGGCTCGAGGCCGAGTTGGGCGAGACCAAGCCAGCCAAGACAGTGGATTTCTGAGCCTTGGGAAGGCGCTGACTCGTGTGCTTGCCTGCTCTGTCAGCTGCTACCTGTACATATACTAAATCAGAGGAAATAAAACCTATTTAAAAGTCAGGTTGTTTTCATTTAGGTCTTTCGAGTTGTATTTCAAGTCGATCTGTCACGATTACTCGGTTAAATTGTCTCTGACTGTGGGGAGTTGGAATGAAGTTGACATAACGCTGCTTATGACTTATGCGTTACCGTTCCCTGAAAAAGTCAGATTTTGTGTAATTGTAGGCAAATATGACGAATCCTTGAGCTTAAGGCAGAGTGAAGGGCTCTATAATGGCCTGATGTGGTGAGAGATGGTTCGATTAGCATCAGTGAAAGTCACAGTGACAACAATACTGCGTTGTCTGTGTAGATGAATCTGGAAAGTGTTCTGGAACATTCCAAGACAGTTCAGGGATTCTCCCATAAATTGACAGCAGTTACCTGACTGCTATGAATGATGAGCAATGTCTGACCTGTTTTTCATTTCACGGGTGGGGTGTTCTCTGCTTATTTGGGTGGGTTTCCTTTAGTCTCCACCTCCCTGTAATCACTATGCCTACAGTGGGATGTCTGCAGCCCCATAACAATGACCTAATAAAGGCCTCTTCATATATGTCTCAGCATGTCTACATACTGCATGAGATGGAGAGAACGTAGGGGTGGGATTGTGATCTCCTACAGTGGAGAACTGCCAATAGCACCACCCTTTTCATTATGCTGCAGGTTCTACCAGTATATCAGCATAATAAAAATAAAGTCTTGAATCCAACCCTTCTACTGGAATGAAAAACAGCAAATCACTTGCGAATCACAAATAGGACACGGATTTCTCCTTTAACCACACAGGCGTCTTACCATATTTACACACAGAGTCCAAAATGACGAAGACAAATATTGGAATTATTCCAAACTGGGCTGGCCTTGCACAACCAAGTAAGTGGCATGTAATAAATTGTACTCATGTGCTTAAGGCACTCTGTTATTATGTATGGCTATTTCTAATGAAAGCAGGAAATTTGCATTACCATGGTTATCAGCAAAGTTGCGTGTTCAAGAGCCTGTGCTGAAAGCTACTGAAGGCCAGTGTGCCAGTGTGCCAGTGCCAGTGAGCCAGCCTCTTTATCAGCATGAATTGATTTCTTTTCAGTGTCTTACACATTCCATCTCATGCATTGTACTTTTAGGTTTTTTGGCATTAATGGATTATAATTTTCGTTTCTGGACCTAATAGGAATATGGACTTTTTATTTTATTTTACTTTTTATAGTCTCAACAAAAAAATGCCAAAAAAAAGTTAGTGATATTCAGACAGTGTGGATGATCTTCTGCTTCAGATCCAGTTGGGTTGGTTATTTTCCAGCTGGAGGTGTGAACGCAGAAACTTCAATCGAGAAATCCCAAGTAAATACAGGAACTACATTTAAGCAGATTCCACGGTGACACGGTGTCAGGCCATCGTCTGGTGACATCCCTGAAGACCACAGAGAAGAACAATGAGGATCAGTTGGCTACGAGGGGCTGTCGTATTGATGGTCGTGGCCGGTATTTCCTATATCGTCTCTATCAAAAGAGAAATACATTCCCAGAAGCAGAGTCTACACCCGGTCACGCAGAAGGACAAGTCCCAGAATCGGGAGATCATGGATAAGCTGCAGAACATGGAGTCTCACATGCACAAACTGGGTGAGTTCGGCGGGAGCCCAAATGGCTGTGAAATGTAACTAACGCTAAAACTAAAACTACAAGAAAATCGTTTCATAAACAAATAAAATAATATACGGAAAAAAAAAATCGGAAACTAAACGAAACCTACGAATATTGCTTCAGAAAATAACAGAAATACTTTATATGACCATTTTTAAATGCTATTTTGAAAAAGTCATATCAATTTTATAATGATCATTAATAATACCGGGAACATGTTCGCCCGTTTCATGGTTATTGATAAAGAGAAAAATATATAACGAACAAAACCAGACTGAGACCTATAATTAAAACTAAACTGGATTTCGATAAAAAAAAAATAATTTGAACACAGGTAATGTTCAGCGTTTAGTCTTTGGAAACATAAGGTTTTCTGCCCTTTTTTTTTGCAGGAGTTATTATTTATATTACATAAAATAATAAGGATGTTTCAGGAGGTTCAATACCGTGGTGAAATTAAAAGGGTTCTCCAAAGTACATTAATTCATAATCATGTAATTGGTAAAAAATATGCAAATTAATATTTTTTCTTTAAAGGATTTAAAGTCTCAAAGCGTTTATTGTCATATGTACAAGTAGAAATGTGCATTGATTTCTCTGTGCAATGAAATTCTTACTTTGCTGTCCATACTAAAATGCCGAGGTACAAGTAAAGCAAATTATAATGAATTGTAATTAACGATGTCATTGTGTCAATGCAAATATCAGTTCCTTAGTTTGATTTTCTGAAGTCTGCTGATAAATGTATTTGCTGAACTTTGGAAAATGTGCGGCAGTCTAAAGGCAATCGTCGCAAACACCCTCTAAACACCTCGTTGAAAATCAGCGTGAACTGGCTCATTGTGATACCAATAGTTTTTTGTTTGATTTCTATGATCTTTATAAGCGTGATTTAAAAATACTGTTGTTGTGCTTCTTATCATATCCTAGTATATGATGACTGCACGTGGGTTATAATGAATGCCATTGAATATTTTAATGTATTAGTTAAAACTATATATTTTGTGGTGTTACCGCTAACATTTTGGGGGAAAAACCTCGGTTTTTAAATGATTCATTACTAAAAGTGCAAACACAAACTCTTTTTCTATAATGTTAGCATGCCCGGGTGGTTGGCAGCCAATTGACTTTGAAACCCCAGAGATTTCTTTCATTTCATTGTCTTCCTTTCAACCTGTTTTCAATTATTCAGTATAAATGACGTATGAATATCTCACAACACGCAGCTGTAAAGCACCTTGGGGGGGACTCTGTTCTTATAAACGCTACATAAAAATAAATTGAACTGAATCAAGAACAGTTGTAAACCTAAGGCAGTGTGTCTGTTGACACGGCAGATTAGGAAAACCTACAGTATGAGACGCTTATCTGCACATTTTAAAAATATATGACCAAGAAAAAAAAAATCAAAAAACAACGCAGTACCATAACAACCATAATGAAGTAAATCCCGTTTAAACCCTGAATACGGTCGCATATCTGTAGCGATAAACACCCCTACAGTCTATAAGCCCGGTCTGAATGTCCTGGCGAAAGTGCCTTAAATCCACTGAGAGAGTAACTTTTAGAGGCAGTTTCTGCATTGCTTGTCATATACACACTCGCCTCAGATGAGTCAGCATGAAGTATTTGCAGCAGCGTATCCGGGTTCGTTATAAAAGAGCCGATAAACACACAGCATTAATGACGGGTCCTTTGCCAGCGTCCCCATGCCGGTGTGGTACTGTACGAAGAAGACGCGCAGAGCGCGTTTCGCTGGGGGCTTCTCGGGCCTTTCTGTAAGACATTGTGTCCCCCACCTTGGGTGCTGTCTACGTTACTGCTTACATCTCAAACAGAACAACAGTGACATGAACTGACAAATAGCATTAAGGTAATACAGAAAATGCAAACGGTGACCGGATACATTTCAACATCAATATTGTGCAGAGAGGGAGAAAAAAATAAAAGGAATTGGTACTAGTGATATTTGTGTAGCTGTATTTAATTTATTAGATTATTTGATGATTATTCGATGATGCCTACAAATTAAGTACTCGGCAATTTCGGAGCAGCAATTTAACAGAATGTGCTGGAGTTCTGCCTCATTCTACCGCTCAAACAATAAACACTATAATTCAGTCTTTCTGCAGAGTACAGAGCAAAATGAAAGCGAAAAGTGTCACTCCTTTTATTTATTATTTAACAAAATGGATATGACCACACCTTTGTAAACTAACCAGCTAAAAATAAGTTTAAACTAAGGACCTAGTAAATACGCGTCACACGGGGTATGGTGTCCAGTATGTCCAGTATCTCTTTTGCACAGAGAAACAACATTCTGAAATCCGCAAGCAATTATTATTAAGTATCATAATTAATATATTTACTTAGAAAGGTGTATATACACCTTAAACGTCTACTGCATGGTCAACCGGAATCAGGCCGTTCACGCCATTAACCATCTGAGCACACTGACTGCATGACGTTTCAGAGAATCGGAGAATTTTCAGCCGGTAACGCTGTCATGGAATTGAATCTATGCAGTAATATTGTACTGCATAGATTCGGTAAATGCAACATATATTTTGTGTTCATAAAATGTCCCCAACCCATCCAGTTGGGTAACTTTCGCTATTCCACCAACCCGCTGGCCAGATTGTCAGACAGCCATTTAAATTAGTTAACAGATAACATTAGATCGATAGAGGGCTAACGGTACACAAAATTCATTGTTCGATATAAAATTAGGTTTTGGGGTCACAGTTCGGTAAATATCAACAGGGAAAACTACTTTTAAATCATTATTAACACTGCAAACACAAAAACGGTTAGTAATAGTTGTAAAACAAATTCAATTAATGCATCGGTCTGTTAACAGACCTGGGGCAGAATCTGGCGCCACACTCACACTTCCAGACTATCACTCTCAAAAAGAAATCTCATAGCAAATAATCATTCCTTGAAAAACCTAATATTAGCCGCATCGAAAGTGTTGGGGTAGTTTGCAAACCCCACAGCCTATTTCCAAAGTAATAGAACTGTTACATACATGTAAATGCGTGTGCAGACTTTTCTCAAATTGAAAATCTCCAGCTGCCCAGTTGGCAAACCTGCTGTGGCATTTAAGAGAACATGTGCCACGTTTCTCGCAGAACATCTAATCGGCGATGTTATGAAAAATGACCCGACTTCGAAGGAGGATAAAAAGGGGAAGGAGGGGGTGAAGATGAAGAAGCTGTATCCGGACTCGTATCTCTTCAGAAGATGGGGCGACGGCCTTTCAGAAGCGGAGCAGCGAGAGGCGGAGGAACTTTTCCAGAAATATGGTTACAACACGTTTCTCAGCGATAGGCTGCCACTCAACAGAGAGCTTCCGGACACCAGAGACAGCAGGTGACCCGTCTGTCCCAGGCTTGGCGTCCAGTAGGGGAATCATGCAGATTGTCATGTGACACATCTGTGACCTACCAGGTTTTTGCGTCACTTAATAACAAATGCATCTGCGTTCCTTGTGTCAAACTGTACCTCATACTGAGATACTCAGCATAATCGTAGAGTAATTCAAACTGAGTGACAAAGTCTTGAAGTGCTGTTAATATTCCATCTAATCTGCAAAAATATGCAACATATTTAGTTTATTGACATTTTATCAACTGTATATAGTTCATATAGTGGAGCTAAGTGTGACACCAGGACAGACAGGAAGCCCCGTTTTGTTCATTTCATAGCGGAGTAATTAAACACACAGCTGAGGAGGATTTAAGATTGACAAACCCAGAGGGGAAATATTGCCTCAATATTTTGACACAGTCAAATCAGGTTATACCTAAAGACTGGCTTCTGAGACAACTAGAAGCAAGGAAAGGAAAGGTTTGTGTTCATTGACATTTATGAGATAAGTAGGGGTGCATTCAGTGGCAGAACAACTGTACACTGGGCCCTGGGGCAAAAATGGAGCATGCCCCCACCCCCAATCCGAATTGACACCTAGGGTCTGCCCCCACCCCCTTTCCAAATTGACACCTAGGGCCTGCCCCCACCCCCTTTCCAAATTCACACCTAGGGCCTGCCCCCCCCCTTTCCAAAGTCACACCTAGGGCCTGCCCCCCCCCTTTCCAAAGTCA